TGAAGCGTGCAGCCAAGGTCGTTGCGCTGTAACCGATTCGCCTAACTAAAATACTGACTTACGTTGGGTGCTGAAAAGTACATGTTCCCTTTCCCGTAATTCAGCCATCTGTAGTGGAAGGAAGTCATTCCACTTGAAAAATTGCGCTCTTCAAAGTTATTGCGCTACTAGCTAGATCGGGCCACATGTCATTACGACTCCGAAAGAAGCCTACTGCCTAACCTATCCTCAAAAATTGTATTGACAGCTACAAAAATTGGGTTTTATCCTCTGCAATGAATGCAAAAGTGGAGGAATCGCTTGTGGGTAGGAAAACAGCAATTCACTGAAATGTTTGAGCATTGTTCTCGGAGATAACGAGAAAAAATTGTCCGCTAGTTCCTGGTATTGAAGTACGTCAGCGGCCCGCAACCGTTCTTATTTGTCGGCAACGTGATGATATCAGCAATTCGTGAACAGCCTGATCAGCTAGTGAACAATCTATGAACCGCCCGAACTCATCAAAAACTTTGGACTACACTCGAGGCTGGAAAGCCTTGAAACGCACTTTTAGACCTGCTGCTCATTTTTAAAAGCTTTGTAACAAAAAAGTTCATTAACACGTAACGGACGACAGGTGTTTTCGCTCGTGCGCCACCGTGTGGGACACGCGGGTACCCCCCAGGAGGCCCGTCGCGCGGCAAAAAGGCAAAGTCAGCGGACGAGTCGCGCGCGTACTATAGGGATTTCGCGTCAAGTTAAATAGAGTGTCCCATTGCACGTCCTACATCGCACATCACGCGCTGCAACTCGTCCGCGACTCTGCCTTCTTGCCGCGCGACGGGCCTCCTGGGGGAAACCCGGGACACGCCGGCACACAGGGTAGGATTTGTGTAGCCTTATGCGAACAGCGGGTTTAAGACGGGGCTAAAGTAGGTGTCGTGTCTCATCATCCAAAAAAGAGATTTCCGTTGACGACAACTTCGTAACCCGCCTTTCCGCTCTAAAACTAGGGTGCAAAGAATGAATGGAAGCTGTAGGTGACATTATCGAAAAATGCGAAACAACAACCCCGAGCAAGGATGTGGCTATATTTAGGGGAAGGGGTCTCGGGACGTGCGAACCATGGGTAAGCCACCCATCAAATAGTAAACTTATGTAAATTAAGACAAAATGTATGTAAAATTTATTGTAGGTTTGTCAAAAATCCAGCCGTCCAGGTCCTGGGAAGATATGTTATTCCACATTGCTGAGAGTATATATGGGTATATTAAGATTGCTAGAAACATTCCAAAAACAAAAGAAATAGTCGTGCGCCACCATGTGGCGCACGCCGTCCGTTATGGGTTAAAGATTGTACGGAAATCATGTTAACCGTTAATAAAAAATGCATCTTCATAAAACCGCTCAAAACCAAGGGATGTGGCCTATAAGAATGAAATAGGTTGACCGATTCTCTGGCATGCGCCACGCATCCAACATCCAATATTCAGGTCAAAGTGACTTGTAAGTGATGACCGACGGAAGTGGAAAAGGAGGCATCAGAGAGGCGCATCGCCATAGATTACAGGAAGAGTCAAATTGAAATTCGAGTTCGCTTAAGTCAACTTTTACTTTTTCATTCTTTTGTGGCCGCTTTATTGCTCCCACTCAATCCAGGGAAAAAATAAAAGTTGTTGTTCCACACAACTTATTGGTCGGGCCAAATGAATCGTTCAAATGTTGTCACTATTCTGAGGGGAAGTCAAGGCGTGGCGTATCCCAACAAATGGACTTGTGGTCATTCGTTGTCTTTCTATGAATTCTGACCCAGAGGAAAAAAATGCATGTTATCTCACCATGACCCGCTTCGTCCAAGGCTAGCTCGGTTTCTGGGAGATTCGGTCCACCTCCTACATGAAAATAGTCTAGAAAGCGGAGCTCATTTTAGTCCTAGCCAGCATTTTGAGGACCTTCCAACCCTCTCCATCCCCTCCTCTTTTTCGAGAGCATAAACAGGCAAAAAAGTTCCGCCGGAAACTGTCTCTACGCCAATAGGCGCAATGAAGCCTCTACAGAAATTCGTAGATTGAGAGGACATTCTCTATCGCACTCTGAAGGTAGCCGTGCACTCTACGGCTTTCCTTGCATTTTTGCAAAGAAGAAGGAGCTTAGAAATGAGATTGCCAAGTAAGCGTCTTTCCCATTGTTCTCTGATTTCGATAAGGTCACCCCGAACTCGTAGTACTCGAACGCAAAGACGCACTGCGATAACGATGCGATATGAAGCGTAGCTTGAATTCCGCCCTCCACCCTATAAAAGAGCTGCAGGA